ACAATCTAGCTAGCTACCTCCTGTTTTGTTTGTCAATTTCCCACAGCAATTACAAGTGGGATTTCAGCAACTAAATACAACGTTCCACAAACATGACACCCCAATAACTAACTGGGAACCCACATGGAAAGCATTTACAACTAAAGACTTAATACACTCCCCCGGATTTAAACTCCAATTGGCGAAAGAGACCCCTGCTCCTTACAAAGACTTACTTTTCTTTCTTGTGTATATATATATACACACACTACCTTTTAAGGAATGTGGCCAAATAATTGGAGCTGAGACTGAGAATTCAAATTAGAAATCTCAGTCTTTTTATTTTTTATTGACTGCGATGAAGTTACTAAGAATTTCAAATTGAGAATGAATTACTAGACAGAAGGGAGAGCTGTCCCTTTCTGTGTAACCCAACACCAGACAAAAATAAGAAAAAATCTGCCCCAGATACTTCAGACAGTGAAGGGGTTTATGCATTTTTTTTAAGGATGTACGCAATGAATTGAAGAGTGATTTCCTTTGACAATAACAACAACAGAAAATTGTTGTGTTTATAATAAAACAGACAGTAGAATCTTCTCTCCTGTTCTTGGAGACATTAATACAAGATTCATGAACTTTTACTCTAGCTTGATACATGCATGAACATCTTAATTTTACGGACTCTTCTATTGGAATTTGATTAATAAATGTCTAGTTTTTCCTAGTTAATTTCCAATACCTCTGTGTGTCAATAATATTTAATTCACAAAATTGTATTAAAAATTCTTGTTCATTAATGATGGTAATTGACATTCAACTTGTAACATGTCATGCTACTAACCAGCAATAAGATTAAAATACGAACATTTGTGTAGATTATGCATGTTAAATTTAATGATATGTAAAATTTATATGAATAGAATGTCAATTTAATAGTTGATTTGATAAAATACAAATTGTATAGAAAATTATTAATGAGTATAAGTTACATTAATATAAGTTAATCTAGTGTGTGTATATATATATATAAAACAAAAAAGTGAAATCAAGAAACGCTAACATCAAAACTATCAAAACGTCTAACCTCAGGCACATAATATGTGAGATTTACATGAAATTTATATTATATTATATTTATCTTGTAATTGTTATTGAATATTTTTAATTTTTTTAATGGCATTAAAAATAAAGGAGGAAACAGAAAAAGGAGAATCATAGAGCAAACTTCTTGCTCATCACGCTTGCCAAAAACACTTCTCAATGGTCCTTCAGTCGGCCTTCAGTTGGCACTGAATAAAGTTGCTGAGACAAAAAAGAATCGAAATATAAAAGCAGTATTGGTAGTGAAAGATAAGTATATTCTTATAGGATTAGTATAGGTCTCCATATTTGGGTTTTATTTTATATAATTGAAAGGAATCTAATCTCTAAATTTTAATAGCAATGGGCTTTGAATAATTACCAAAAAATACAAAAGAGGGCTTTGAATAATATGATAACTGGGAAGTTTGGTTTTCTAAAATAGCACTTTCTAGAATAAAGAATAA